CATATAGAGTGGAACATATATATACATCCGAAGAAGTGGGCTGTAGTCCACGAAAGCTTATGCTCTAATAAATTTGTTAGTCTCTAAGGTGCCACAAGTACTCCTGTTCTTTTTGCGGATACAGACTAACACAGCTGCTACTCTGAAACCAGCAATAGAGGTGTGGGTACGTTCATATTGTGTGTACATAGCAACTAATGTACAGAAAGCCATATGCATTTTGGGAAGCCTATCTCCATTAAAGCATAACCTACACAAAGTTCTACTGGTTTAAATAGAAGTGTGATGTTAAAGTGATTTCATTAAAGCAACACAACTTTGTATGTGGACACTCTTGCATTTTCTTTTTTAATCTGTCTTATAAAAAGTGTTCACACACAAAGTTGTCCTGGTTTAACTAAAATCACTTTAACATCACACTTGAATTCAACTGATGTAATTTCTGCATTTAAACACATAATATCACCTGCTGAGTTATCAAGAGTAGCATTAATGTGAGCAACCGCAGTTTGTATTGACTTTGCCACTCCTGTAAAATATTGAAATTCACTGCACATCTCACATCAATGAGAAAAGAAAACAATTTTGCATCTCTATGGTAACATCCAATGAACAGCATATTAACTGTCTCTGAAGAGATATGCAATTGCATTACACTGATTGACAGTAATATCAACTTACAGAGTGCCTTTTGCTTACAATTTGGAGCATTGGAGCTTGAAGCCACTGAACTTAAAACCAAATATTTAACATAGTAAACATTAGCTTTTTATTCTATAATCCTTATTTGCATAATACTACTGTAACCCCACTGCTTGCCATCACCAACATTTCTGCACACAGTTCCCACTGAATGGAACAAAATCAATGTCCCCTCAAAATGTTGAGGATTTTTGATGAAAGCATGAGAACAAAGCCAGTTGCTTCTCCTTCCTTTCCCTTCTCCCCTTTATCTTTGGTCTGCTAAATGGCTCACCTCTCCTGCATTGTGACAACACTGAAATATCGCATTGGATGTTCCTATTCCTTCCTCTGAATTTAGCTCATCAGGAAAAGAGAGATGTACATTTATAAGCATACAAGTTTACATACTGAGCTGAAAATCATAGACTTCTGAAATAAATTTTGTGGCGGGTGGACGAGCTGAGAAGATCAAGTGTGGAAAAAAGATTGCTCTCTCTATAGAAACATAGCATGCACGTGAAAGAAAGCGTTCATAAATCAGAAAATAATACCATAGAAAAAGAGATACAGATTGCACAGCAACAGAAATCAGAAAAGATTCCAAAAATTTCTGAAATTTCACTGTACACCACAAGTGAAGAATTAGTTTGTTGATTAGAAATAACACTTTTCAAGATACCTGGAATCCTTGGCTTGTTACAATGATATAAAACAAGGTACTCCTTTTATTGTGCTCTTTATATGTTTGTAAAATCTCAGCCCTGCGAGATATAGTAAGATTCTCTGAGGTTCCCTGTATACTCAATTCAATAAACCTTCATGATTTTAGAGCATAAATCAGCCTCTAGTGGTGATTATGTAGAAACATTCTCTGTGAGCAGGTTATTCCATAACTGCCCATCGCATGGTTTGTGCGCCTTCCTCAAAAGTTTGTGGTAGTAGCCACTGTTAAAGACAGGATACTGGACAAGATGGCCCGCTGGTCCAAATATAGGGCCATTGCTATGTTCTTAAAGAAATGCTTTTTTAAAAGAGGTATGATTTGAGGGTAGTGTATTTGAAGAGTCTGTTGTGATGAACTATCTTCATGTTGTGACCTATCCAAGACATTCCATACACATGAGAAGAAACCTCTCATTTTCCATGAGTGTAATCTCCTGCATCTACAGCCATCCTGTATTCACTGATAATAAGGACATGGTCAAGAACTATTGCCAGTAGTATGTTTTCAGCTACCTTTCACAGAGTTGGAGGACCACAGCGGCTGAGAAGTGATCCTTGTGGGTTTCTCCATTTTATTTAATTTTTTTAAATCTGTATTTGAGACCGTGTGTTGGAACTCCCCCTTCCCCATCCTCCCTGTTTGTCTGCGTGAATAGTAAGTGTTCTCTGGCTCTGTTTAGAATGAATAATTGATGTAGAATGCCTTTCTGCATATTTAAAACACAACCCGCTATATTTTCTATTTAGTTCCAGCAAAAAATGTATGGACTAAGTCAAAAAATGGCCACACTAAAAAACCCTATCATGCTTGTACATTAGGCAACAATGAAAAAACCTTAACACGCAATATAATTATGTGCCTTCAAACTAGAATCAATGATACTTTCTCTACAATCGCTTTCAGTTAGATTATGTTAATTAGCTGCTTAGAGACTGCACCCTGTAAACGGAACTATACATAGCTCATAGCAAACCAGCACTTTAATAGCACCACTTCAGTACAAATTAATGGAAAAGCAATTCATTTTTAAATCCAATAAGACTTCTGCTCTAAAGCAATTTGATTTGATAGGCAATTTAACTTGCTTAATTTATATTCATCCATTGCTCAATGGCTGAATTTCATAGTCTGTACACTCAGAATAGCAGACGACCCACTTTGAAATATTATTGTTATTACTGGTTTAGGCAGAATGCTTCACAGGTGGGTGTGTGGGCGGGGGGGAGGACTGATAGTATGCTTGTATAACATATACATTTGGTACTTTACTGGTGACGGAATTAGAGAGGAAACAGATCGTTTTCAGTCTGATGATGGAGGACTAAAATATTTTAAATCTGGCAACTTCAATTCCAAACAAATAATTAAATTTGTTTATCACACACTGGACTGCCATAGAGTCATCACAGGAAACAAAAAATAAAAACAGCCAAGGACTTTTGGGTGCACTGAAGGTCCTTGTTGTGGCCATTTCCCTCAGGTGCAGACCCAGCTGTGTTCCAGGCCCTTACCACCTTATGGCTAGATCATTGCAGCATGCACATGTGAGGTTACATTTTAAATGAACATAGAAAAGTAAATGGATGCAGCAGCCTGTTTATTAAGCAATGATTCTTGGTTTCCAAATAGAGTTTGAGTTGCTGGTTTTGCCTTGGTTTGGGAATTTCTTACCTGAGAGACCACCAGTGGCCCCATGCCATGCTGCTGTCAGAGACAGAGATAACTGAGGTGGGTCGGGGCACTGGGGAGAGGAGGGAATATCAGAGGTACATGTGGAAATAGTGCACATGGGATGATCAAGGGATCAGAGTCACATGGGAGGATTTGGAGGTTAGATACACATGAGGCATCAGAGGCACATAGGGGCACTGGAAGGGTCAGAGGTATATGTGAGGGGACGATCAGGGTTGGGTGGTCCCCCAGCAGCAGTCTACTGGGAGGCATGTTGAAGACTCTGGGGACCTATTTGTGATGGCATGTGTGCACAGAATGAATGGATGTGAAGTGTAGGAGGGGTGTGCGCACGCAGAATGACTGGGTAGAAAATGAATGGGTGTGTGGAGCGGGCATGGGTGCATGTAGAATGGATGGGCATGGAGCGTGAGGATGAGGGTACAGAATGAGTGCACTCAGTGTGTTTATAGGCTGCATGAATGGTGGGGTGAATGAAGAATGAATGGGATAGGTACTGGATTAAGCTGTGTCTGGGAAGTATGTTCATAATGAGGCTGTGGTAAGACAGGTTGGAGTGAAAGTGGACGTGGAATGAAAGCTAGTGGAAATGAATGCATGGAATGGGTATAAATAGGACAAATAGGCAACATGTCTGCAAATGTTTGCAAAGTAGAAAGAATGATTTCTTACCTTGTAGTAAATTGGATTTTCCAAGATGGTCTGTGCATGTGGATCCCACTCATGGTGCTCTTGTACCCCACACAAGACTATATAAAACTTCTCTAAAAGCATCCTCTAGGGGTTGCGCAGACACCCTGCATGCTCTCGTTCTTCACCTTTCTGACAGCATGAGGGACCAGGTGACCCCAACCACCAATCAGTTCCTTTGCCTCACGGATAAGACTTGGATCTGTGGGGAAGGAGACCAAGTCATGGGATCCACAAGTAACCCTTCTTTCTTCGAGCTCCGGTGCTTGTGGATCCTCACTCATGATGACTAACAAGCAGTTTGACTCTTCAGGAG